GGGCGGGGAGCGGGCCGGCGGTTGCTGGCCGTCCTGGGCGCCTGCCCGCCGTCCGCAGGGAGAAGCTGACGGCTGGGCTGGGCTGCGCGGCTCCCCCGAGTCAGGTGGCCATGGCGTCCTTCTCCTCGGCGCCGGCGGCCGGCGGCACGCGCAGGCTGACCATTTTCAACAGGATTCAAGTACGTCAGCCCGCTCTTTCTTCGCTTTTAGCGGTCCGTGGTTTGCGTTTGCGTCTCGGAGCTGTTCCTGTCTTCCCGCGCTCTTTTAAGTGCTTTTTATTAGGGTTGACAGCTCTAGGTTCACCAGTGACCGTACTTAGCGCTTACGGGGCGCTTTACGCGCCCAGAGCGCTCTGAAAGCCATTAACGAATTAATCCAGTGCCAAAGGTTTAGAAATAATTTAACGAGATCAAGTCTCGGGATGTTTAGTAACGCGATACGAGGCCTTTCACCTGGCTTCTCGGGCGGGCTCGCGCACGGGTCAGCGATAACCAAAAGCTGCGAACGCCTGAACGTTCAGCGAGCTCGGCGCCCGTGGAACAGGAACCGCTTTCTCGAGGGGAGGTAATTGGCGTCTCGCTGCCCGTGGGAGGGCAGGGAGGTCGAGAGTCAACCTAAACGAACTTCTCGCCTTTAGAGACGGGTCTCTGGAGGTCAAAGTCACAGTGTGTTGCTGGAGGGTGGTTGTGGAAGCTTGCGTTAGGGATAAATGTGCTGCAGCTGCTTTGGGGACTGAATACTTCCGACGTCTGGGGTTGGTTCAAGTGGTTTTTGGTCCTTAGTTGGACGTCGCGCTTACGGGCAGACACGAAAGCATCTTGTCCCGTCCCAAGGGGGTCGCTGCCGCCTCGCGCGTCGCGCCGATGCCCTCGGGACGGGGCGTTTCTAACGCGCTGGGGTTAAACCCGGTCTGCGTCGCTCCTCTTCCCTTTCTGGCTCCTGGAAACGGCTCCCCGTGCTCTGGGTGTTACTTCAGCAGTCAAGGCGAGAAATCCAGTGGCTCGGGGGAGTCTCGGATTCGCCTTCCTCTGCCTCCAGGAGATTTTTGGGAGGCTGGATGATCCACGGGACACGAGCGAGTCCCCGTCCTGCTCCCGAGTGCCTGTTGTTGACCTGGCAGGGTGGCGGTAGCAGAGTCGATGCCCGCGGCAGCTGGGGATGGGGACGATCCGGCCCTCCCCGCATCGCTGGAGCGCGGGAACCACGCACGGCCGAGGAATCGGAGCGTGGCCACCCCTGCCTACGGCTTGCGGTGGAGATAATGCGGTTTGATATCCGCCTTGCGTAAACCGGGACTCCTGTTTGCGTGGCCGCTTACAGTGTATCGAAGCGTTACGAGGAGAATTTATTAATGACGATTTATGAGACGGGTTAATGAGCGTTGCTTTGCGAGTGCAAAGTGTTATTTTCATGGAGAAAACAGCTCCGGTAGTCCGTTTATTTTTTTTTTTTTTAAAGACAGAATGCCTATATTTTAAAGCTTTACGTGCAGGCAGAATAACATCTGCTTTTGGTTATTGTTTCTTTAACTGCAGGGTGGAAATATCTACAGCCTCACTAACGCAGCAAAGGAAGAAAACTTGTCAGCTGGGTGGTAAGCAGGTGGCGCTGAAGTTTTGAGGGTGGTGGTGGTTTTCTGGAGCTCGTTTTAGCACCTAGTCAGGCACGTTTCTTTTCCCTCGGGGGCTGAGATTTCACGTAGCCTTTTCATTTGGCTGGCTTTGGACCGTGCTAATTAATAGGCGTTTAAATTGGAACCACAAGACTTTCAACCCAATTTCTAACTCGCGATGGTAAAAGTCGTGCAGCGACTGAAGCGTGACGGGGAGGTAACCTTAATGAAACGTTTAAGACTATTAAGGATGTAATAAGGAATGACCAGGCTTGTTCTTTTCATACATTACGACAATAAAAGAGCAAAAGTTCACCCGGGAAGTAAAGAAATGGAAATCTAGGATAATGTTAAGGGCTTCACCTCGTCGCGGGCTTCCCAGGTGGCTGGGGGGGGTACGGGCTTCGCCCTCCCCCTCGTTCCGGGTGAGCCGTCTGCCTGTAAAGAGTGTTACTGCATTATAATCTTGGAGGCAGGCCCTGAATTTAGGTTTTAAAAGCGATTAGCTAATTTTATGGTTAATTATTATTTTAGAGTGAGTTTGTGACTCAGTTCGCTCTGCTGAAGAAAATAAACATTCTTCCCTCTTCTGTGGTAATTGCCGCTTTCCTTTGGCGCAGGGACTGCACGCCTCTGGCGTTTTCCCTGCGAGTAAAGCGTGGCTCTGCCACCTTACCGCCCAGGCCAGGGAGCTTGCCGTTCACGGCGCCAGACAGCAAGCTGCTCCCTGGCAAAAGGGAGATTTTTATCACCTACGTCCTCCCGAGCAGCAGCGCGGGCCCCGCGCAGCCTCGGCAGAGGTGCCTTTCCTGCCGTGTTGCTAACCGTCGCAGGTAAAGCTGTCTCTCGTTAAGAAAGAAGAATGTAATCACTCTTCGGCGACAAACGAAAGTCGTGGTTCCTGGTGAGCCCCCTGAAAATAATTACCGGGTCCAGCCGGCCTTGGTGGTCTGCCCGCTCCTCCGTTTCCCTGTCGGAAGAGGTTGCGAGGATCGGCCGGGCCGTAGGAACGGCGAGGCAGTAAGTACGGTGTGCTGGGAAGCGTTAGCTTCGTTTGCTTTCTTCGTCATGCGGCTAGAGAAATGGATCCGCAGGACTTGCGAGGTCGCCTTTCCCAAGCGCTGAATTCCCACGGGGGAGTTATCCACAAATGCCACGTTTTTCCATTCACAAAATGGGATCTTTCACAAATTCCGCGGTGTAGGAAATGCGCAGTCTTGAAGGAAAATGCTGCTGGAGGTTTTGCCGCAGGTCATTCATTTTTGGTGTCGCGGTTAAAAAGCGATGTGTGTAACTTTGAAAATAAGATGTGTACCTATCTGTTAATGGGTGCAGTTCCCGTAACCGCTCGGAAGAGCGGGTATCTTAACCGCGTCGCTTGTTTAAAGCTGTCTCTCTGTAATGCTGGTGACTGACGTCCCGCTGGGGATTTTTCCCTGGTTAACATCTTTCGCTGCTAAAGGAGCTGCAGAGATTTCCCCACCAGACCCGCACCGAGCTCTACGGCAGGCAATGCAAGCGTGGCTCTAACGTTGATAGGGATTAAATTATTTTTTTTCCAAAAAGCGGTTCAACTTCATAATGTTAATTTTCCATCCCTTTATCTCGATTTTTCACTTAGCCGGACGACTGGTGCTGTTACTGCTGATGGCAGGGGCTTTAGCGGCCGTCTCGGCAAGAGCTGCGGTCAGCTGGCTTACACCGAGCACGGTCTGGAGAACCACGCGTGTTTTCGTGGCGAACGATGGCACTCACCGCGACGGACGGAGGAACAGCAGGTAAAGGGAAACGGAATCCTTCAGTGCTTATCCTTCCACAGGAGTTTGAATTAAGGTCGCGAGGATTCTTTAAAACCTGTAGCGTACGGAGATAAAAGCTGTGGGGCAACTTAACCTACGAGAGTGGGATCCAGAATGACGGCGCTGTTGAAGCCCTGCGGGTGGTTGTTACGTAGCGGACGTCCTTGAGTCATTGTACTGTTTTGAAAGCTGCTGCTGTTGCCAGCAACGTTCCTTGCTCTACAGCTGCGAAGCGCGAGTGAAAAATGTAAGCCTGACCGTTCTAGCTGACGGCGTGAACTTGGGAGCTCGGGTTTGTAAAAACAGTAAGGAGTTGGTGCGATAAGAGTTCCTGTTCGGGGCTCTCGCTAAATTACGGTGTGCTTAGAGGAACTTACTCAACGTAGTAGCTCTTATTTATCATCGTTACTTTATGTCGTGGAGAAACAGCTCAGAAGTGAGACGAAAGGCTGGCTGATGCCAGACACGCACCTCGTACCCCTCTTTGTCTTTGTGGCAAGGTGTGCGGCGCGGGAGGCGGCAGCACTCGGGAGCGGCCGCTGGAGGCAGCGGGAGGTGGACGCTGTCCCTCAAAACCCGAGGTGCCTTCGGAGGACGTCACGGTGGCTCCTCTGGTGATTCCTGTCTCGGTACCGGTGATGGCTACGAACTCGCCGGCAGGGAACGAGGTGGGTGGCGATTGCGTTCCTCGGGTATTTTAATGATTTAGCTGTAACACCTTCGTTAGCCGACTTCGCTGGGGTCGCTTCTTTGGGCAACTGGTCACCGGTGGGCGAGTTTCACTGGTTTAGCCAGCAGCTTAGCGTTACGGCTCCCTGAAATCCCCCAAACGATAGTCAAATAACGCTGCAGGAGTGGCCGTGGGGGTAATTACTACAGTAATGGCCTTGGTAAAGGTTCCCGGGTCCGTCTGAGTAACGTATTGGAAGTATGTAACCCATTAATCACCCTGAGTTGTGTGAAAATAAAAGATGACGTGGGAAGTATCAACAGTAGGATGCAGGACGGATACTTGGCGTTAAAGCCTAGGAAAGCGCTCGGAATGTTACTAGGCAATTTAAGGAATTTCAAGAGGATTTTGGAATTTACTTGGTTTTTTCCTCTCAGCTCTCTGACTGCAAAAGAAACTTGCAGAGGGCTCTTATCGAGAGTTCTTGTTCTCATGAGCGTGTCTGTTGGCTTCCCCGGAGCCGTCTGTACGAGTAGGGACTAGAGCAGAGGCTCCTCTGGCCGCGCTCACGCGGGTTTTGGCATTGGGTGTTCGTTGTTGAGCTCGGAATAATAAATCGCGACACCGAGAGTCTAGAGGAAAACCAGATAAAAATCCTACGCAATTCCAAGCTTTCCTCTGTATCTTTTCGAGCGCCTTGAACTTGTTCCGCTTCTTTTCCGTGATAGAGAGGGATGTTTGGAATTGCTTGTCCAGGTTACCGAAAAGGAAAGCCCGGATGGGAAGGACCTCAAAGAAAGCCCGCACCAGAAGAAGAGGAAGAGGCAAACGCGGCCGAAATCGCTTTTTATCCCACCTCCACCGGCCCCCGAAGCCCAGCCGGGGATGGGGGGGTGTTACCAGAGTAACCTTCGCTCGCCCGTGTTCCTGGTGGATCACCTGCTGAGGGACTTGTTCCAGTGCTCTCCTTACACGCCGCCTCCGATGCTCAGCCCCGTGCGGGAAGGATCGGGCCTCTATTTCAGCACTCTCTGCTCTTCCTCTGCTAACGGCGATCCCAACCAGCTGTTCGGCGCTGCGCTAGGTAATAAAATCCTAATGTCTGCACTCAACAGATAATAGAACTGGAAGGGAATCCAGCTGGCTCTCGTACGGACTTACAGACACAGAAAACTGGCCCGCAGTCATTTTCTCCAGGGCAGGTTATAAATTCAAACGGTATCCACCTTCCTGTGGGATGAATTGCTGCACCGTGCGCAGGCCGGTGGAAGTACGGACGTTCGCGTGGAGCAGTTTAAGTCACTCGTAAACCGATGACCTGATTTTATTGTGCCAGTTTGTGGTGAAAACTGATCGTAATCTGAGCATTAAAGATCCGTAGCGGTTACACCAAAACAATCCTGTTGTAAAGCCACGGGAGCCGCCGCAGCGGGCAGCTGCGTGTCAGAGGCAGCAGCCCGGTGGAAGCAGCGTTCCCCCGGGTTCGGTGTCCGCTCGCTGGTTTGTCGTCTGCAGGGACGCAGCCGAGTCAAGGTGTTGTGCCTACAAATACGGGCAGGCCCCGGCTCCGCTCAGGCCTTCCAAAGGAGGCTTTGAAAAATAGAAGCAGGTGACTTCTACTTTGTGGTTCCTCTTGAGGAACAGGGGATGTGAAGGGGGTTTTGCTCTGATACTGGCTTTTGCTTATGAAAAATACCGAACCGCTCGATCCCTGCGTGGCTGACTTCTGGGAAATTGTGTCCGGGTGGTCGGTCTCGAGGGCTTCCAAGGGAAAACGTCAAGTGAGCAATTTCACTGAAACGAGGGGAATTCCGAGAGAATAGATAGCGGTTTGCGACGCTGAGGATGTGAAGGAGGGCTGAAGGATGGTCTCGGCAGAATGATTTTTATCTCGAGCGGTTTTTTGTGTCTTTCAGGCAGAATGGACAGGGACTTTGGCTTCTGTCTGATGAAGGATACCACCAAGATCGGCGTTCAGCCGTGAGTTCTGGCGTAGCAGCATAGCGGCACGCCTTTGGGAGGCGGGTGACAAGGGGACCGCGGTTCGGGAGCCAGCGTGTGGCTGGTTCAAGCGCGTGGGCTGTGCGGGCCTTCGAGGCTGACGTTGACTTTCTCCCTCCCACGATCCTATCGCTTGGCCGATTCTCTCGCCGTCCTGCATCACCTTCCTCACCTCCTCTTTCTCCTTGCTTTAGCCACATCAACATCGGAAGTCGATTTCAGGCCGAGGTACCGAACCTCCGGGATAGATCCCATCTGGAAGAGGACGAACCGGCAGCATCCTTGGTGTGGAAGCCCTGGGGAGACATCGCAACCAACCCGGAAACGCAGGACAGAGGTTTCTTAAATGCTTTTTTTCCAAGGCGACCCCCGAGATACTAGGGTTTGAAAAGTCCACGTTTTCACAGCAGCTTTTTACGCGTTCGGATTCTCTCCCTTCTTTTCTCGACCACCTTCGCATGTGGTAGCGTTGAAGGGAAGGAGATTGCTCGGTTCTGGTAGAACAGCGAACAAGTATCAGCTGTTACGCTCTCGGTCGCGTCTTCCGTGAGAGATGGTTGGGGCATTTGTGGCTGCCTCGTCTGCAGCGAAAGCGGGGAGATTTGTCCCTGGAGGTAGCGGTCCCAAAGCTGGTCTGAAGGCAGAGCCAGCGATACCCGGACAGCTGGGACATCCAGCTGTTTTCTGTGCCTTCCCTGGGTCTCCTCCAGCCGGTCTGTTGCACTTGTTCTCTTTTCCCTATCTTGTGTCGCACCTTTTCTCCTTTCTTGACAGAAACTGACTTTCTGTTGGGTTTCGTTGCGTTTGTAGTCACGGAACTGCTCAACATGGCCTGCTCCAGCGTCATGCCGGGGGGAGGAACGAACCTAGAGCTAGCCTTGCATTGTCTGCATGAGGCACGCGGCAGCGTTCTGGTAAGAAGCGGCTCTTTGGTCGTAATTAACAGCCAGGCTGGCCGCTGTCGCTGGCGTGAGCTGGGAGCTGCTCCGAGTTTCCCGCTCCGCGGGTTGGGAGCTGGTCTCTTTGCTAACCGCGCAGAGTTCTCGCGTGCTGCCTGCGGCCGCGGCCTGCGTTAACGTCTTGGGACCGCGGACCCCGTCCTGGCGTGTAAATAAGAGCTCGTTGTGTCTCTTGTAAATTATGTGGCAATTTGGAGAATATAAGCGCAACTGCCCGGAACGCTGGGAGCGAAGGAATTGCCCTATTCGCTAAAACCCGAGGTCTGCTCCGGGTGAACCCCGTCTGCTTGACAACTGCGGCGTCCCTAGGCGCTCCTTGCCGAGCAGACGCCTCCAGCCTGGTCCCGGTTGAGCCCCGAGCGGGTCTGCTCCGCTCCCTGTTCTCTGAAGAAGGGATTTAACAACACTCAGACGTAGCCGAGGACTGGGCGTACGCCGCGTCTCCACGAGGAGGCTCTGCGAGCCCGTCTGCTGCGGCAGCGCCGAGCCGAAAACGACTCCAGCAGGGAGAAACCTTCTCCTGGAGCTGGCGGCAGGTGGGGTCCCGCAGCTCGCTCCCCGGAGGCCTCCCGAGGTTCTGTGTTCTTAAAGCTCTTCGGTGTGGATTGAGGAAATAACTTCGTAACCTTCGGTGGGCCGAGGCGATCCCCGAGCGCCGTTGCTGAGCGTTGCCTAAGCAAAGTCTTCCCGCAGTGGGCTGAATCCCTGAAGTAGCAAAACAGCTGAAAGCAAGAATTCCCCTTTTTGCTCCTCCGGGGGGGGGAATCTAAAGTCTGTTTTGTATTAAACCTTGCAGGAGGCTCTGGAGATGCTGCTTTTTGGGGCGCCTCAGAAATTGGAATCCCACCCTCTGGCTAATTACCGTTACGCAGGTAAACTGGAAGCAGAGCTCGTTCCTTCCCCGGGAACGCTAACAGATAGTGCCGTTCCCTTTCTGTACTCTGATGTAAAGCATTTTATTTAAAAAAAAAACTGTCTTATTTGGGGCGGGGAACGGTTTTAATCCGTTTACAGTGCTTTTTTACGCGGGGAATGCCTCGCGCTCGCGTTCCGGTGCGCTGCCCTGCAGTGACACCCAACGGGAGAAGCACGCTGACGTGCGGCGGTGCCGCGCGCTCTTCCTTTCAGTTGCGCCCGCGCTTCCCGGCAGGCAGGGCTAATAACCGCGACTGCTAACGAGCTCGCCGCTGTGTTTGGTAATTGCTTTCCGAAGCAGGAGAGATGGCGATACCTGAGTAATAAATGGTGCCGATGTCCCCTAGGCTGAGCGGGATCTAATAATTTGCCTGTTGCTGTTTGTTGCCAGGTTCCGATACTTGGACGCCTCTCGAGAAGCGGTTGTTTAAAAAGGCTTTTTGTGTACACAAGAAGGATTTTTACCTGATCCAGAAGGAGGTAAAGCCGTTGGATCGAGGCGGATCCAGGGCTGTTAGCCTGACAGTTTTAACCCAGAAAGTCCTATTTTGAGTTGTGTGTCGGAGTCCCGTTCTTTGAAAGCTGGAGTTCGCTTCTTAACGCTAAAAAGACACCGGTACGAGACATTATTGGCCCCAATGCACAATGACAACAGAATACTTAATCTCTCTGGTACAAAATACCAGCGCTATTAAAATAATAATGAAGCGCTGCGCTGACCGCCTGCGTGAAACGTACGATTCCGCCCTTCCCACACTTCTTTACCACCTTTCCAGACGAGGAAGGCTTGTTTGCTGGCCGATCTCCCCCGTACGTTGCAGCGCGATCAGCGGGGAGAACGGGGGAAGGAGGAGCTGGGCTAGGCGGCTGTGTTGTATAGCTGTGCCTTGAATGTTTTCCTACAGCATTTCCATTATAGACCGCTTCTGTTTTTCTCACAATAGATTCAGACTAAGAATGTGTCCCAGTGTGTTGAATATTACTATATCTGGAAAAAAAAAATAAAATTTGACTACAGTCGAGCTCAAGTGATAGAAAAAAAGGTCAAGAGAGACAAGGATGAGGTGGAAGAGACTGAAGAAAAGGTAGAAAAACCACTGGGGATTTGGGCAAGATGCCGCTCCTCAACGAAAACGGCTTGCCGCGCTCTGCGAAAGGTGCAGCAGACGCTGCCCGGGGAGAGGTTCTGGGTTTATTCTGCCGCTGCTTTGATTAACTTAGGCCGTGGAATAACTCTGAAACACCAAAGCGGTATTTCCTAGCCGGCACCGCTAGGAAATTGCTGTTACCCTTTACAGGCAGTATTTGTTCTTAATGGGCTGGCCCCCTTGATTTAACTCGGATCATTCCCGGCCCCTTCCTACCACGAATACTCCTGTTCGCGTGGCGCTCGTTGCTGGCGATTTTCAGGGATATTCTGCGACATCCCAGCACTCCGTGAAAGGAGCTGCTGGTGACGTGGCTCTGCTAAAACGTTCCTTGCCAGTAAACAGGAATTTGGTTCACAGAAATATTTTTTTGCGGGGGAGAAACTGGGTAACCAAGTAGCTTCAGCGCTTAGGAATTCTACGCTTCAAACCTGTCGTACGGACTTCTGTGGAGGAAAGTGCTGTTCCGCTTGGGCAGCAGAAGTAATCCGGTTTTTTCTTTCAAGGTCTGTGTTTGCACCCCATCCCCACAGGCGAATCAAAGCGGTTTTTTGGCTATTTAGTGTTCGGAGGAGTTCAGCCGGGCAGACTTGGGCTGATCTCTTTTTGTGCTGGATGTAACGCGTTCGAATTGCCTGGGCCGCCCCGAGGTTTTTTCAAGCTAGTTTTTCACATTAGCTATCCACCTTTCTGCAGAGGAGGAGAAATTAATACGGGCTCTCTGGCTTACAGGCTGCTTGCAGCCCGAAGAAGAGGCACCGCCTTCTGCCCGAGGAAAGCATGAAGATAAAGCAGAGGAGCGACAAGAAGCTGCCCCGCAGCGCAGGCAGCCCGTCCCGCGTCCCGAGCGGGTCTCCCTACCCGGCGGGCAGCGCAGGCGACCGGGGTCTGTTTCCGTGTCGAGAGTGTGAAAGGTAGCTGTTCCTCTTTCTGCTAAAACCTGCCGCTTTTGGCTAAAGCCCAGTTAAGCTTTCAGAGGCGCCCGGGGGGCAGAGGGGATGCGGAGCGAAGGCGGCTTGAGGGTTACCCCTGCCCCTTGGCCTTCTTGCCGTTTGATTTGACTTTACCAGCGACTTCCAACCCAGACGTCTCTCTTGTTTAGCCACCAGCCTCCCACGCAGCCCGGGGTACCGCAGAACGAAGCAATCGAACCGTCCTACCGCGCATCGACATACACAGAAATTCACAGAAATGGAAATAACGAAGCTTGGTATTAACGGTGTTTATCAAATTAAAAAAAAAATAATATCCCTGTTTGTTTTCTGACTTGCAGGGTGTTTGACAAGATAAAAGGCAGGAACGCTCACATGAAAAGCCATCGCCTGCGGGAGCAGGCGGAGCGTCTCGCAAAGATGAAATGGCCCTGGAAGCATTTTAAAAGCGAGGCAAAGCTGGAAGAAACCCAGGCGCTGACCTCCTCCGGCGGTGACTGGGAGCCTGTCATTTCCGAGTAGCAACGAGGTCAGTTTTCTCTCTTTAAAAAACACCCGAACCTTCTCTAGCGCCGGGGCGGCGGCTGAGCTCTGAGGAGGGTTAGGCGACGCGAGGTTGCCCCCGCTCTTCAATCTAATCCGTCAGGAGCGCAGCGCCCATCACACCAATGCCGAAAAACCACCGCGGCTTTTCCTACTGTGGAAAAGCGCTCGGTGAAGCGGCAGAGAGCGTTCGCTAAAGGGTCTCCGGCAGAAACGCCGCAACTTGGGGCGCGTAGCGTGTGTTAAAATCTTATTTGGGGTTTCTCAGCAGTTGGTCAGTGTCGACGTGTGACGGAAAGAAATGTGGAGGCATCGCGCGTTCCGTGCTTGCACCGACACTGCAAAGGTGTGTGCGAAACGGAGCCTGCGTGCCTGGCGCCGAGCTGCAATTACGCCTGGTTGGGAGACCACACGGTTGGTAACACCCCTAAAGTAGCTCTTGTACGAATACCAGAAGCTCTTGCCTTCCGCTTTTGTTTAAAGAAGGCCTTTGCCTCCGTTTGAAACCAAAGTTGGATGCCCTCGCTTTTTGCTCCCCGTTCCGGGCTTTGGCGTTGTTAGAAAGAAACAGAACAGGGAAATCACTGGGAACTTGTCATCGTCTTTAATATCTTGTTTTGCCGTAAAGTGATAGTCGTGCACAGCATTGCAGATCTCAGATTTAGCCCTCTTCTGATCCAAGGAAGGGTTCGGGGGTTTTTTTTTTTTATGTGCTTTCTACTTCGCTTATTCAATTGGGTTCTCGAATAGCAAGTGTAAAAGTTCTTGGACTGCTCTTGCTGGTTATGCTATAAATAATTAAATACTTGAAGCAAAATTGGTTACGCTTGGTTGGTGGCGCGAACGCGGCGTGCTACGCGCGCGTCGGTCTCGAAAGAAGAACCTGGGCGCCTGCTTCCGCGGGCCCGGTCCCTCGGTCGGCGGGCGGGGGGGTGTAAAGATGGATCCTTCTGATTCCGAAAACTCTCTTGAAAGTTAAAGCTGGAGACCGCAAAGCCGCTGAGTCTGGGGACGCTCCAGGCCGCAGCTTGCCGTCGCCGCGAAGCTCCTTCGCTCGCCAGGCCAAATGCCAACGCTTCCTTCGTTTTGCTGTTGCAAAATACGAGGTGCCGGCTTTCGTCGCCGGGTTCCCGGAGGGATAAGGCCCGGCAGCAGGCTCGGGGTGGTTAAACGCGTTCGCTCTGCTGCGAGTCATCATCGAGCAGAGTCGGCGTTCGCCTTCCGCAATACGCAAAGCACCGTATCCAGTTATCCTATTGCACTGATTTGTGTTCGTTTGCATAAATAACCCTGCCTCGCTAAACTGCCTTTGGTGGCGAAAACTGAGGGTCTGATTGGCTCGATGAATGAAATATAAATAAGGGGTCTTGTCTCTTGTTACGCTAGGAGGGACAAAAGGCTTTTTTTGTTGTTGCCAGGCCACGGGATTCCCATGGCTTTGTTTAATTTTTGCTAGGCTGAATATTCACGTCCAGTACCAGCAAATCCGTATTTCGGGTCCGGTTTCTCTTTAAAGGGTGAACCTTCGGGTCTGGGCCTCGCCAAGCGGCTTTACCCCGAGGAGAAGGAGGCTTTGCAGCGCGGGCGCCACCCTGATCCTTCCGCTTCTCGTAACTTGTATTTAAAAAAAAAAAAAGCCAAAGAAACTTTCTTTTTTAATCTAGCCCTTACGATTCCAAAGGGAAACCAGCTGCCTTCCGAAAACGAAGACAGGCCTGTCGGTAATGTTCATGGAAGTCAGCAGCAGCCCCGCCAGCAACGGCAAAGCGGCTGCGCGGGCCGAAAGCTTTCGGGGGGAAAAAGCTGCAAAGCTGGAGAAAGGGGGCTGTTCCCTTTAAAAACCAAAAAACAGCGGGACGTTGCAGGACTGAGCGATCTTAATTACACGTGTGTGTTAGGACGCTGACCTCGGCTTTGCGAAGGGTTGCTGCAATTATAACTCATCCCCCAGAGGAAAATCCCGGGGTGATTTTGCGTTTTCGCTGACGTATCTTGTGGGCGTCGTCACGCTCTTCGGCGGCGAGGACGGGACGCCCTCGCCGTCCCTTCGCTTTGCCAGCCCTGTGCGGCAGGACACCCCGAAGCACGCCCTCCCAGGCCGACGCGCGCTCCGCGGCGCCCGGATCTCCCCCGAGCCGCCCTCCTCTCGCGCCGCGGTCGAGTCGCGTGGCATTTGTGGATGAATCACGAGTGTCGGCGCCCCCGTGTCCTGTATCCACGCGGGACGTCAACGTCGGCGGGGCGTCGTCGTGCGGGGCAGCTCGGCACCTGTCCAAGCCTGTTCTTAACTCCCGGCTTGCCCGCAGTCAGCGCTGTTTACGTGTGGAAAACACTCGGAAGCGGGCTGGGCTCCAGTTTAGAGCGCTTGAGAAGGCGCTCGGGGCTTTAGGCCTGGCCCGGGCGCTCGGGCGCGCGCCCCAAGTGGGTCTGATGCGAGTAGGGATGGAGCAGAGAGCAAACGCTCCGAGCGCGAGGAATTAAAGCCGGGACTGCAGGCTCCGTGGGGGACGAGACAGCGAGCGCGGGAAGGCGGCGCGTTCGCACCTCCTCCTGAGCTCGCTCTTCACCGCGGGCGCTGCCAAAGCGATCGCAAAAACACGTGGGCAGGAGTTTGGAAAAATACTCGGTGCTGGCTGCTTCCGCCGCCGTAGACGGGGGACTGCAGTGGGGCTGTTGGGCCGGCCTCCGAAAACCCCGCGGGGCAATGAAACGCCCGCGGGAGGGCTCCGCGTGCCCGCCTCCACGCCGCTTAGCGCAGATTTCTGTTCCGAGTCTCGTTACTGTTTCTCATCGATTCTAAAAAGTCAAAATTTTGATGCAAGAACAGAATCTGGTCCAGGTTTTCCGGCGCCAGGACGGCTCGCCGGTGCTCCAGGGTGCTTTCGCCGGCGGCAAAGGCCTGCTCGGGCAGCACGGCGGTCGCTGGGACGGCGAGGTACTGCCGGCTCAGCCGCGCCACGGCCGGGAAGCGATGCTCGTTGTTCTTCCACCAGTCCAGCGGGTTGGTGCTGCGCTTGCAGAGAGGCTCCACGATGTAGTTTTCCAGCTGCTGGTGGATCTCGGGCATGCTCTCCGTCGGATCCTTCCCCAAAAGGATGTCGTACATGCTCTGCGACGCGGTGCTCGAGCATCTGTCCTTGTGAGCAGACAGCTGGCTGCCCGCGTCTCCGCCCTCGGCTTTGTAATCCGAGTTTGGCATCCAGAACGGGGCAGCGGATGGCGACTGGTGGCTGAAAACCTGCGACAGCATGTTCTTCACTCTCTTGTGCAGCTCGCTTCTCAGGCCGGGGCTGAGAAACCGCATCTCCTTGAAGCGCGGGTCCAAGAACGAGGCAATAACTGCTGGACTTTCCAGCACTTTCTCGTCCTCCGACAGCCCCCAGCGCTGCGTCAGCTCTGTCCGGATGTTGCCTACTACCGTCTTGATGACGGCGCCGGCCTCTTCCGACTGCTGCCCGATGGCAGCCACGATCCCGTGGATGCACGGCATCAGAGACGACACCGACGCGTTCTGCTCCTCGCGCAGGAAGGACGTCGCGATCTTGATCGTCCTCATGACGGGGAGCAGGTCCTGCAGGAGCTTCCACTGGTGGTCGGCCAAGCTCTGGACGGCCGCCGGCCCCTTGGGGTGCTCCTCCAGCACGGACACGATGGCCCACTTCAGGTCTAAGAGGCTCTCGCACATTTCGATGGTGGTTATCCAGCGAGAGCCCACGTCCATCACCAGTTTCAGCTTGGTTTTGTTGATGGCTTCCAGCTTGCTGTTCAAGGAGCAGGCGGCTTTCGCGTCCCGCTGGAAATACCCGACGATGCCGCGGGCGACGCTCAGGGCCTCTCGGACCTGCTCCACTTCCAGCCCCGCTTTGATGCAGAGGTGAAGGGTGCGAGCGGCGCAGCACAGGCTGCTCCAGCCGTACGCGTTCTTCAGCTGCCGCGCGTTGGCCGCCGCGCTCTGCGGGCTGTCGTGCAGAACGCAGAAGACGGATTTGCTGGACAAGCCAAATTCGGAGAGGACGGCGTACAGCTTCTCCCCTAAATCCCCCTCCGCTCTCTCCTCGTGCGCTTGCCGCGTCTCCATGACGCAGCGTGCCCGCCGCCACTCCCCGTCGATGAAGGTGGCCGTGACGGTCAGGTAGCTCTGGCTGAGCTGGGAGACCCAGAACTCCACGCAGACCACGATGGCCTGAGCCGTCTGCAGGTAACGCTCCAGGTGCTGCTTGACCACGTTGTACCGGTGCCACAGCATGCTGGCGAGCTGCGCCGGCGACGGCAGCGCGAAGCTCGGCTCCAGGTACCCGACGAGGAGCCCGAAGCCTTTGTCCTTGACCACGGAGAGAGGGTGCAGGTCGCGGAAGATCATCTCCAGCACCAGCTCCAGGATGACGTCGGTCCTGGGTTCCGAGCAGGACGCGACGTGGTAGAGGTTGCTCTCCGGCGTCATCTGCCGGAAGCGTTTCACGGCGTTTTCCTGAGCCGCGTAGTCGGATTCGGAAGCCTGGTCGTCCTTGAGCTGGGAGAGCAAGGTGTCGCGGATGCTGTGCTTCCTCACCAGGTGCTCCCGCATGGTGGTGGTGCTGTTGTGGAAGGAGAGCTGCTTCTTGCAGACGTTGCACTCCACGTAGGCGTCCCCCAGCTTGGTGTAGTAATTCCACACCTTGGATTTGCGGCGGTCGACGTAGAGCGCGGTGCTGGCGCCCTCCTGGCCGCTCCCTTTCTCCCTCTTCCTCCGGGCCGAGGGCGCGAGGCTGGCGGCCGCCATGTTGTAGGTGGTGAAGACCAGGGGCGTTTCCTCTGAGGAGACAAAACGCAACAGCGCCTACAATTTCAATCGCAGCCTCCCTTGGGTCTGCGCTCTTCGGTCCCGTCCTAAACCAGAAGCACCCTTCGGTGGCTGCCGCGGGTGTTTTTGGGGGGGAAAAAAAAGGCCAAAAGGGCGCACGTACCTCGTGCCGACTGCGGGACGGGAGGGAGAGGTGGCTCCTCCGTCGCCTCCTCCTTCGGCTGCGCCTCTCCGCCGCTCTCCTCCGGCTTAACGCCCTTCTGCAAGGCCGGAGGCGCTTGCTTGGAGTTTGCGTCGGCCATCGTCGTCTTGGCACCAAAAAAAACCCCAAAACAAGGAAAAAAACCCAAAAACAAGGAAAAAAACCCCAAAGGACCGGAACAACAGGGACCGTTAAAATGACCGCGTCCAATCCTCGGCTGTTTCCCCAGGGATGCGCCCGGGAAGGCGACCTACGCCGTGACAATTCCGGCGCTGAACGCCGGCGGCGGTGACGTCATCCAACCCCTCGTTCCGCGGGAGCTTCGTAGCGGTTTTGGTCCCAAACCTTTCACGGGCGAATCTGGGGTTAAACCGGCCCAAAATGGGAAAACCCTAACCGGCGGCTGGGGTGATCGCAGCGGGGGGAAGTTTTTAGCGGCTTTCTGCCTCGGCGTTCCGGCGAGGTGTTGCCGGAGCAAGCGGGACGGCATCATCAATCGGGCGTAAATAGCTCGGCGACGGGGAAAACTCCTCTTTCGGGCTGATTTCCCCCCAAAACCCTCCGCCCACCGAGAAATGGGGGTTTCTGCGCCCTTGCCTTACCTCCTCTCCGCCGGCGCGCCGCGGTGAAGACGGCCCCGCTTGTTTCGCCTCTAGAAAAATCGGCCGCTCGCGGGCGGGCACCGGGATTTCACCGCGCCGGACGCCGCGGCAAACGCCGGCTCCCAGGGCCGGCGGCGGCGGGGAGGCCGGGGGGGCG